CGAAGGCTGTGCTCTTTAATCTTCATAAGTAAATGTTTCAAGTCCTCTTCACTTTCAGCGATCAAGGTTGTATCACCTGCGTGTCGCAGGTTGTTAATGAGTCTTCCTCCAATCCTGATGTATAAAAAAACACACAGGGAGAGATAATCGTTTAAACAACCACAGGCCACACATTCTGGAAGCCTGTCTCCTGGCTGCCAGCACACAGCCTTAGTCTTTCCATGAGTCTGTAGAGTCCTCAGCTGTTCCATCTATCCATGTCCCTATCTCTGTCTCCATCTCTGGTGTCGCTGCTTCTCTGGTTAGGGTCCCCCTTTTCTCGTGCTCTTCTCCCTTGATGGTCCTAGGGTCTTCTGTTCCTGGACTGTAAGGTTAACAACGTCCCCCTTTTTTGCTACATAACCTCTACTTTATAGTATGACAGTCACAGTTAGATATGATAACAGCTACTCACTATTGAACCAATGAATCATATCCCCATCTCCTTCCTTTTACCCAGCCCATCTAGACAGGAGGAGACTTATTCAGTGGGGATTCTACCTTCCCCACATTCTCTGAAATTAAACTTCCTCTTGGAAACTTGTAAGCCAGCTACTTCTTGCCTTTTTAGCCCTGCCCCCACCCCCATTTTAGGTAGCCAATGTCTTAACTTGCTCATTCCTATGAACCCTGTGTATAGAGGGAATAGGTTTGAATGAAGCTCGATGTGAAGACTCCTTTCCTCTTGGTTGGTTTCCACCATTTCTTTCCAAAGTTGTCAGTTTGATTTCTGTGTGTTCCATCTTGGTAAAGTCCACATTTTAAAAAGTATTTTCTATGAAAAAGTCATTGGTCTTGCAAAATTCTATCATGTGATATCCAGCATCATTTCTTTCATCAAGGCCATATTTTCCAACTAGTGGTCCTTCGTTTCCAACATTTGTATTGATAATATGTTGGTAGAATTCTTCAGTCTCATCCTCATGGCTTTACTAGTTTGTGCATAACTGTGAACAATAGTGGTGTTAACTGGTCTTCCTCTGTATGTGTGTAGATACTACCCCATCACAGCATTAGTCTTCACAACAGATCTAGAAATGTTTGTTTTCACAATGAATGTAACACTATTCCTCTTCAATTTGTCATTCCTGGCATAGTAAACCATGTGATTGTCAGATTCAAAATGGCCAATACCAGTCCATTTCAGCTCACTAATGCCTAAGGTATCAGTGTTTGTGCGTTCCATTTCATTTTTAACAACTACCCATTGTCCTAGATTCATACTTCGTACATCCCATGTTTGAGTTGTGCCCCATCAGCAGATGAGGCACCAGAAACTTTCCTCCATTAGCGCCATCACTGGCAGCTCTTCCTCATTGTGTTTGATGCCTCTCAACGTGGGTTCATCTTCGGACACTGTATCTAACAGTTGTTACTAAGTGCTATAGAGTAGGGTTCCAGCCCTTAGACACTCTATGGGGTTTCCGAGGAGCAGCTGTGAGCTTGATCCGCCAGCCTTGTGGTTCAAGCGGACTCAGTAGTCCAGCGCATTAACCAACAACCCCACACCGGGACTCTCTGGGACAGTATCCTGGTGCCATTCGTCATGTTTCAGTAGGTAGGGTTTTGGAGCTGTCTGACAGTGTCCCCTGCTTTTCAGAAAGAGTCTGTCCTTCTTGTCTGTCTTGGTCTGGAAGCTCAGCTGAAACCTTTCTACCATGGGTGGTCCAGCCAGCATTCAAAATGCCGATGGGGTAGTTTCCAGCTTCATAGCGACACGCCAGTCAGCACACTATGACACGCTGACACGACAGCACAGTACAACACGCTGGCATGTCAGTCACCACAGGACAACACACTGACATGCCAGTCACCACAGTATGACATGCTGACACGCCACTCACCACAGTATGACACGCTGACATGTCAGCACAGGACCACACACTGACATGCCAGTCACCACAGGACAACGCGCTGACATGTCAGTCAGCACAGGATGACACGCCAACACACAGGCGGTGGGGACTCCTGTAGAGTCGGCCTTGTAGTCCTGGGACACAGCATCCAGAGCTACTGGGTGTGGTACAGGAACTTACGTAAAACATTTGAGATTCATACTTTCTTCCCTTCTTTACAGACTTGAGCCTTATGCAGACCCATACTATGACTATGAAATAGAGCGGTTCTGGCGAGGTGGCCAATACGAGAACTTCCGGGTGCAATATACAGAGACAGAACCGTATCACAACTACCGAGTGAGTATGGGCTGCTTCCGAGAGTCACCCCCTGTCATTAAGATTCATGGGTGAGAACTGTGGTGTGCACAGGACTTTGTGGGTTTAGCTGGGCTCTGGCTGTGGTTGTGTGTGTGTGTGTGTCTATACAGAGTTGGCCTGGTGACTATACAGCGGGGCTTGCGGGGGCGGGTTAGGGTTAGCTCTTTTCCAGTTCAGTGTAACAGCATTGTAACAGTCGGGCGGGCTGGGCAGCATGTACTTGATTCTCTTCATAGTTAGGTCCCCTGCATCCACACCTCTGAATGTGAGCTTTATTTATTAATATCCGTGCTCCAGAGCTTGCAGGGAGGTAGGGAAAAGCTGCTTGCAAAGAAAGATGGGTTAGTGCGTGTGTGTTTAGGAGGCTACTGCGTGGGACTCTCCAGCTGAGCCCTCAGAGATCAGAATAGAAAGACCCTAGCAGATATCCCACGCCCTTGTTGCCCATCTTGTCCAGCTCTTGAGCAGTCTTCAGATGGGGCCACGTCCCACCACAGCTAGGCCCTGAGCTGGGGCCGGGATGAAGGCCCGGGGCAGCAGAACCTTCCACTTACTCATGCTGGAGTAGGACAGCAGGCAGAGCAGCTCTTTAAGGATTTTCTAGGACCAAGGAGCAGTCTTGGGTGGGGGCTGTGCTCATCCTGTTGTAGTCCTGCCCACCTGCCCCCACGTGGGCTCCAGCACGTGACCACCACAGGGCTGGAGGAGGGGCCTGACTCACGTGTGCTCACGTGTCTGGCTTTTTATTCCAGGAGAGGGAGCGGGAGCGAGAGCGTGAGAACCGGCAGCGGGAGCGTGAGCGTGAACGGGAGCGTGAACGGGAGCGTGAGCGTCGCCAGAGGGAGCGAGAGCGCGAACAGCGGGAGCGGGACAAGGAGCGGCAGCGGAGGAAAGAGGAGTGGGAGCGTGAACGTGCCAAGCGCGATGAGAAGGACCGGCAGCACCGAGAGCGGGAGCGGGACAAGGAGAAAGACAAACCAAAGGCTCGTTCCCCACAGCCACCAAGGTAGGCTCCGTGTCGTCCAGGGCTCTGCGAGTCCTTGGTCCGTCTTTAAATTGCTGCTTGGTCTTTGTGTTGTTGCGTCGGACGTGTTCTTTCTCCATAGAGGTCTACAGCTCTGCAGGGGCTCAGGGCATCAGCAACCACACACACAGTCAAAAGTCTTCATAGAGCTTTTGACTTCACAGAAACTTGATTACTGCCCTACAATTGATGGGAATCCTTTCCAGTAACCTAAAGAGTGCCTTAAGTGAGGCTGTTGTAGGTGATCCGCCTCAGACACTGACCCCATGTAAAAGCTGCATTTTCAGTAGGAGATCAAAAAGAATTTCAGAATACGTGTGAGGTCTGCATACATGCTACCAGCGACAGTGTCAGGAAGTCCCTTTGCTGATTTCACGATGGGTGCTCCCTAAGCTGATTCACTCATCTTGAAATGAGGGACAACCTGGGTGCTTGGCGCACTGTGACATTTCTGCTTCCTGGGGATACTTCCGGCCTCATCAGTGCCACTCTGCATGGGTCCCGAGGTGCTAGGAGCAGGGTGAGGGACAAAGTGCGGCGTGCGGAGTTTAGAGATGGTTCTCAGGTAAACGGACCCGCATTGGGTTGTCTTTTTGCTTACTTGCTTGTGTCTTTTGGAGCACAGGATTTTGCTTTGATCCCATCCAGTTTTTTCTTATGGTTTCGCTTACGTGGACTAGGCCTTTGGTGTCATATCTGAGAATCCATTGCCTGACCTCACGTCACGAAGACCGAGGCAGCAGAGTGCAGTGAAGTTGCGGAAAGCTTAGGACAGGTTCCGGGGCAGTCCAGTCTGAGCTGGGTCACGAGACCATGACCAGCTCACTTCTTCCTGTCCTTATATGGGTCATGGGTCTTGTCTCCTCTCCTAGAACGCTCCTGGTGTGGCATGAGTGGGTGCCTCCCTAGTCCTCTCAGCCTCTGGCTTTCCAGGGTTTCAGCAGCCCAGGATTTTCCAGGGCTGGGCTCCATTTCCTCTTCCTGGGAGCAGCCGAGCTGCTGTGAGCACTTCTCAGGCCGGTTTCCTCGTAGGAGTCGGCAGCCCGAGGGAAAGGGCTCTTTTCCTGGTAACATGGTCAGACCCTGCATGGAAGGGAGGATTCTGTCTTCAGCCACAGAGCAGACAGAGGCTTTCTGCAGGGGAATCTCAGGCCTTGTCTCTAGGGTCCCATTGACATTCACAGTAAACACTGTACTGCAGCCCCGGCCCCAGGAGAGGAAGACACAAGCAGACGAGTGGCAGCTGGACCAGGAACCAGCAGGACATCTGCCACCAAGGGGGTCCAGGCCACTCAGCCTGTCTCTTCTTTCTGGGGACTACCTTTTCTCACAGCAGCCTGGCTGTCCACTCCTAGCTCACTGCTAGCCCATGTCCTGCTGGGTGGAGCCAGGCCACTAAGGCCTCCCTCCTGGTGGTGACAGTTTTGGGGACCTTTGCACGTCACCACATGTTGCTATTTTTAGACAGAAACCTTTCAGCCCTCTCTAGATGGCGTCTGTGTAAGCAGGGGAAGTCCCTTTGGGAGCACCTACTTGGCAGGTGTGGTGACGGGGGAGGCTGAGGCAGGTAGTGTAGTGTTCCCGGACACAGGCCAATGCTCTCCAGTAGCCGTGAGTTATAAATAGGCCCTTCCTGTCCCAGGGGCCGGCACCGTCTGCTGTCTTGTAGGTGGTTTCCCGGAGCTCCGGGTTTACCTCGGAGGCCTTTCCTGTCCCGTGAGGGCTGGGTTGTCTTCCTGGTGAGGGGCTGCTCGTCCGTTGTTGGGACTTTGTGGGCTTAACACAGGCCGCTCTCGCCCCGCCATGTAAGTCAGGGCTGTGATCTCCCTGCTGCCGTTGGCATCTGTCTGCCCAGCTGAGGCCATGGGACCCTCCGCCTGGATCCCTGTAAGAGCTGACAGGCTCGTCCTTTGTCGCTTGCTCTTTTTTACCAAAAAGCAGTGTTCTGTTTCCCTCAGTTTGTGTAAGTGCTTCTAGGACTTGGTCCTCTGAGTTCTCGGGAGGTGAGGCGCCTGCGATATTGATACTGTCCACCAGCAGACGTGTCCATCTCATGGCACGTCCATCATGCCCTGCTGTCGGGGTTACGGAGGCTGCTTGTCTTGATCTTAGGTGCTGCTTTGGTGTGTGCCAACACCTTCCTCACTTTTGAGAGGTGCTCTGAGAGCAGCCATCAGCAGGTCTCGGGTATGTGCCAGGGCACAGCCACCTGTCTGAACACAGTACACTGGGCAGGGTGCCCAGGTCTCCCTCTGCACTCCCTACAGGCATGCTCCCCACAGGCTCTGAGGACACATGGCTGCTCCCTGCTCCAGTTCCCTAGCACTAACAGGGGAAGCTCTGCTCCCCCTGGCTGCCCAGCTCAGAACACCGGGTTGGACAGGTTTCTGAAAGTCCTTCACGGCCTATCCAGTAATGCAGTCCAGAAGGTGCCTGTGTGATGACAGGAATACCTAGTGGTGTTTTGTGTATTGGAATCTAATTGTGGGTAGTCTCCCACCTAGAGCTCTTGGATAAATGCAGATTCATGCAGGTGTCCTCATGAGCTAGAAGCAGCCTTGCAGATCTCATTGAAGGGTAGTGTCCCTGCAGGATCCCGGTCCCCGAGGCTGCCCGTCTTCACAGAGACAGACTGCCTCATCTTCCTTCCACAGAGGGCTAGCAGGTTCGGTCCGTAGCTGAGCGCTTAAACACTGTGCCACCTGGCCTCCTTACAGAAAGGGACGAAAACCCACTGCAGGGCAGAGGGGAACGGCCCAGAGGGTTTCTGAGGCTGCCAGTCTTCCAGAAGCTGCCGCCGTCGGTTAGCTTCGCCAGGCTGCTGCGCTCTCTGACGTTACCGCCCTGCTTTGTTGCGAGGTGTCGCGGGTGGGCCGGAGTGCGGGGGCAGTGTACACGGCTGTCCTAACAGCAGCCTTGCTGTGTGAACCAGTGGGACCCTACAGGTGTGTGGTCCCCTGAAGTCACACAAAGGAAGGACTGTGTTTCCAGCAGTTAGAGCGTACGTCTGTGGGGATGAATGTTGTCATTGCTACCTGAGTGGAGTTTCTCAGACTTCACTTGTTGGCGGTTAAATTCAGACACATTTATACGATTGGTGGGTCACAACGGTAGTAGTGTGCCCCACCCCCCGCCCCAGGGTACGCAGGCTTGCCTGTCTTCTCCCTTGGAGGGTCAGTGACACACAGCCAAGTCCTAGACCAGAGGGACTAGGTGTGTCTCGAGGGTACTCTCGAGAGCCGGCCGGGTGCAAAGGGAGACGGAGACGTGTTAGTAGGAAGTACAAGTTATCCCTTATCCTGTCAGTATCTCTGTCATTTGCACACAGGTCCTTAAGAGAGAGCCAGGCAATGCATGTGTAGCCAGGGGAGGCTCCATGTCAGGCCAAAGGTGGCCGTGGCCCAGCCTCAGGTGGGCTGGGGTCTCCTCTGGAGTTGTCTTCCTCTGGAGTTGTCTATCCGCTTTGTAGGTGATGGTGATGGTGATGGTCAGAGGAGGCAGGCAGAAGTCCAGGGAAGCCCTGAGCAGAGATAGAACACAGGCTGACCCTCAGGGAACCACATAGCATGCTGGGCCCTTTGTTGGTCTCCACAAGGTCTCACAGGGAAAAGATGAAGGAGAAACTGTTGGCAAAGGTCTTCTGAATTTTTCCACAAATGGGAGTAAGCAAGTCCCAGAGGGGAGAACTCAGATTCCCTGTTGTGTGTCTGTATTAGGGGTTAACTTCGCTCTGTTGGATGTGCGGAGAGGACCACAGTCCTTTAGCCCTTTTTAACCCTGAGCTTCACTGGGCAGCGGACTTCTCAGGCTGGCTTGGCACTGGGCTTCTGTGTGACCGTCTGTGGGCTATGGACCCAGGGCCTTGGGGCTCTACACTTGCTTTAGCCTCCAGGTGTATTGACGTGCTTAGTAAATGGACTTTGTCTCCGGAGAATCCCTCCTGTGGCCTCAAAGATAAGATCATGGTGGATGTGCGAGGGAGAGCCACTTCCTTCACCAGGTGGGGGCAGCTGTGGGTCTTAGAAAGGTTTATGCAAATTCTGCTCTACCGACATGGCACCCCCCTCACACATGTGAGAATGTGTGTGTTTGGGGTGGGGGGGGGTGACTGTGTTCCCTCTTGGTCCCATTGTGGTTTTTCCCTCTGGCTCCTCCAGGTCTGGGTAGTCTATGTTGGGGCTGGTTGTCTCATGTTCATGGGAAGGAGCTGTCTTCCAGAAGACCCCTGCATCTGGACTAGGAGAGAGCAGGTGATAGGACCGTGTCTTGAGATCTCGGCCTTCCCCTAGCCTCTGCCACTGAGACCTGGGGTCCCTGGGCCCCCAGCCTGCCTTCTAGGTATCGCTCAGTGTGTACAATGCCAGTCTGAGATCCTGATGTACACACAAGGGTTTCCTGAGGGAGTCACCCAGGAAACCTGGTAGCCTGTGTCCCCGAGCTGGCTGGTTGTCAGCTGCATGGCTGAGTCGGGTAAAGCTCCATGGTTATGAGACGTTGGGGAGGGGAGACCGGTGCGATGCCGTGGACACAGCCTGGCACTTGATAGTGGCCTGGTCACGCTCAGCCTCACTCGCAACATTTTCCCTTAAAGGAGCTTTTCAAATGCTCACCCCAAGCCTCTAGTAGGGCTCAGACCCATTCAGGAAATTCTGTCCCGAGTCCCACTAGAGGCTGTTCCACAGGGAGCCACTTGACTGAGCAGAGAGAAGGGCACGTCTGCACAAAGGCAGAACCTTTGATGGAAAACCCTGTGAGCGTTTGCTGATGCCATAATGTAGCCCCAAATTAAGTGTGCAGTGCGATGTTTGTTGTGCTGAGAGGTTCAGGACCAAGGTCTTTATTCTTCTCAGATGAATAACCTAACGAGAGTCCCATAGGTGCACCTGAGTGTTGGAGTTATGTGCATGTGGCTTTAGGTGAGAGGGCAGGCTGACGGGCAGCCATCCTGTGAGGAAGAGTTGACCATTTACTAAACGCTTGTTTTTCTCTGACCCACTTAGTTTACTTCCTAGGAATTTGCTTTAAAATACCAGATGTCCATAAAGATGTCTGACAGGTTAGTGGGTAAAAACTTAGACGTGTTTAGAGATGTAACCTCTGATAAACAAGTGAGTTACTGCACAAGCAGTGAAGGTCACAGCATGGAAACAAAAGGAAAAAGGTCCAGCAGCGTCCACCCAGCAGCACTGTGGTCCCAGGTCCGAGCACGAAGACACATTGCGGGGGAGTGGAATACCAATGCTTTCCATTTCCTGTTTAATTGTGGTTTCTACAACTCTTAAATGAACTCTTGTTTTACCCACTAAAGCTGCGGATCCCTTTACCCTATGGCACTTTGAAGGTTCTGTCTGCATTCAAAAATGATTGCAGTTGAGTGGTGTAGTTAGTGCCCCGGGACTGGTGCCCAGGCAGACCCACTGCAGAGCCTCCTTCCTGGTGCCATCCTTGCCGCCGTGCATCCTGGTGGGGAGAGGGGGTCCCAGGCCAGCCCAGCCTCCAGGTGGTGGACTTAGTCCTGCTCTGGGAGAGCCACGCGGTGTGCGATGTGGCAGCGGACTCTCTCCTGGAGGCTCTCGTCTCCCTTGGGGTGGAGTCACTCGTCCACTGGCTCTTCTTTGAGCCCAGAGTCAGCCCCATGGTCCCAGCACAGTGGGACAAGGGTGTCTGTAGGAACCCATTGCTCTGCCTTGTAGCCGGCAAGCTGAGCCACCAAAGAAGGAGGCCACCTCTACAGGCGCCCCGGTGAAGCGGGCAGATGAGTGGAAGGACCCTTGGCGCCGATCCAAGTCCCCCAAGAAGAAACTTGGAGCATCCGTCTCCCCTAGCAGGGCACGAAGGCGTCGAAAACCATCTGCTTCATCAGCCTCCGCCTCCAACTCCTCCAGGTAAAGAGGCCCCGTGGCTTTGGAAAGATTCGGGGGGCCAGGGCCATGTCTGGGTCAGCGCCCCTGGACCTCCAGCATGGCCCCTCTGGAGGCTGGGGCTGTGCATGGTCAGCGCCCCTGGACCTCCAGCATGTCCGCTCTCCCTGAACGCAGGTCATCGTCCAGATCATCATCATACTCTGGCTCCGGCTCCTCGCGGTCCCACTCTAGGTCTTCATCATACAGCTCCTATTCCAGCCGCTCGTCCAGACACAGCTCCTTCTCTGGGAGCCGGTCCAGGTACGTGAGCACACACACGCCCCACAGGCTCCTCTCAGAAGCGCCTCACAGACCATTTCCTGGATGCGATAGCGAGCGTTCTCTGGGCTGGGCCATTTCCCAGGAGCACTGAGTCTCTGCAACTGGGGACTCAGGTGGGCATACTTACCAGCCTGGGCTGTGTTCCTGCCTGGAGTGTCACTGTAGTGTCAGAGACAGCTGTGGGGGAGCACAGTGCTCACAGCTGCGTTGGGGCCCGCCACTCCTGCTGCCGGATGCAGTGTGACACCCGGCTCTCTGGCCTCTTGCTACTGGGACCCGGTCCTGAGCCTGCATCTCATAAATGTCTAAGAGTCTCAGCAAACATAGCTTCCCTGCGGAGGTCCCACCTCCCAGACCTTTGGCTCCTCGCTGCTGGTCTGAGCAGGGATTCAGGATGGGCAGGTGGGACAGAAACTTCCAGTCAGGGAGCTGCGCCTGGCCATTGTCCCTTCTGGAAGCACGCGGGCCCTAGCGCATCCTTGACCATAGCGCTCTGCTTGCTCCTAGGTCTCGGTCCTTCTCCTCGTCTCCATCTCCGTCTCCATCACCTTCCCCACACAGACCTTCCATCAGAACCAAGGGGGAACCAGCCCCGCCGCCCGGAAAAGCAGGGTAAGGGCATTGGGATGAATATGTTACTGCGGCGGCAGGGGGCTCTTCCGTCCCTAAAGAGTCAGTTCACAGGGAGCCCCGAGCATCAGCAGACCCGGGGGCATGTGGAGCTGCTGCCATCAGAGCACGAACCTCTGCGCCGGCCACTTTCTGTACCTGCGTCACTGCTACTGATGTGATGGTGTCGCCAGAGAAAAGCTTTCAGGGGCCATGAGTCTTGTGTTGCAGAGTGTCAGGGACCACCCTGACTTTGATCCTGTCGGGCTGGGTAGGCACAGAGGCTGCTGTCTGAGAAGCCTCTAAGTGGCGGGGAGGGGTCCCTCACTCTGTCCTGTGCACCTCTGTCTCTCAGGGAGAAGCCCGTGAAGAAGCCTGCCCCACCCCCTGCCCTACCACCAGCCACCAAAGCCACTGCCCCCGCCCCTGAGCCTGCCAAGCCAGGGGATGCTCGGGAAGCCAGGAGGAAGGAGCGGCAGGCCAGGACCCCTCCCAGGAGGTAAGGAGGCCCCCCCACAGAGCCATCAGCTCCCCCTGAGCCCCTACAGGAAGGGAGGTGGCCTGATGACCCGCTCGTGTTGCAGGCGGACGCTCAGCGGCAGTGGCAGCGGCAGCGGCTCCAGCTACAGCGGTTCGAGCTCCAGATCCAGGTCATTGTCGGGGTCCCTGTCTAGTTCTGGGTCCTCCCCGGGAACACTGGGGTCAGGCTCCCCCTAAGAGCCCTAGTGTGGTAAAGGCAACTGAGGCACCAGGGGGCACCTCAGGAGCGGCAGTGACATGCGTTCCAGAACCTTCTTCTTTCTGCAGTCTCAGTAGGGAAGGAGAAAATTCCCCAAGCAAGGCCAAGAAGAACAAGTAATAATTCTAGTTTACTGAGAAGGTAGCGTCAGAAATCAGTTTATATGTTTGACCATATCTTTTAGTACTTCAGGTAGTGTAGTGGTTACGAATCGGTCAGCAGTTCGAAACTACCAGCCGCTCCGCGGGAGAAAGGTGAGGCTTTCTGCTCCCGTAAGGATTTACACCCTCGGAAACCCTGTACAGGGTCGCTGTGGGTCGGAACCGACTGGACGGCACTTAATGCTATGCTAGAATACTTAAAGACCTAACCTGTAGAAAACCAGGAAAATCCCATTAGATTGTCCGTTCCAGCCCCCCAGGGAGACAAGCAGCAGACCAGGAGTCCTGCCGCTGCCTTTCCCGTCTGTGTGTAGCGGACACTGTGGGCGTCATCTCCCACCTCTTCCTACTATGTCCCTCCAGTCTGTGAGCTCACGTCTAATGACTTACTGGAGGTGAACGGTGTCATCGGTTTTGCATACTGAACCGGACTCTTCTGATGAACTTGAGTCACCTGTACCCATGTGTCCCTCCCAGCATCAGGGAAGTAGGAGCCTCGCTGTAGTGACCTGGGCACCCACACACGCTCTGTGCTTGGCCCACAGGTCCCTGAGCGTGAGCAGTGTCTCCTCCGTGTCCAGTGCCACGTCGAGCAGCAGTTCAGCACACAGCGTGGACTCAGAGGACATGTACGCAGACCTAGCCAGTCCGGTCTCCTCAGCCAGCTCACGCTCCCCCAGCCCAGCCCAGACCAAGAAGGACAAAGGTATGTGATGGCCCCGGACTGTGGAGCAGGAATAGGGCCCACTGCTGGTACACAGAAACGCCGAGGTACAGGCCCATGCCGGAGGGTGCAAGGGGACTCTCGGCATGGCCACACTTTTGCTCTTTCCTCCGCAAAGTGACGCACAGTAACTGGGTCTGTTTTACAGGAAAATCTAAAAAGGAAGATGGCATTAAAGAGGAGAAGCGGAAAAGGGACCCTTCCACACAGGCCCCCAAGTCCGCCAAGCCCTCAGCAGGCAACAGGTCTTCCCAGCAGCCTTCTACCCCTCAGCAGGCACCACCGGGGCAGCCCCTGCAGGCCCCCTTTGTGGCCCACAAGGAGATCAAGCTGACCCTGATCAATAAGGTGAGCCCATGGGGCAGCCGAGCCTGGGGTCACTACACCTGTGGGCAGCCCGGAGAGAGACGGAGCATCCCCCGTCACCTGGTAGCCTCTCGGAGGCCTGGTGTGCTACAGGAAGATTAGCACTGGGCTGCTATCTCAAGATCGGCGGTTCAAACCCTGTGAAGGGTTGTTGTGAGTTGGAGCTGACTCAGTGGCACTTGCCAAAAGCAGCAGGTTGTCTCCCGAGTGGGCGATGTTGAGTAACGGCCCCAGGGTGCCGGCCTGGCCAGCTGGGAACCACCTAGTTCTGCACAACATGGCTAAGGGAAGTGAACATGTCAAGCACCTCCCCCCTGCTGGCTGCTTGTGTGGCCAACGTCCAGGGAACACAGGCTCGGGGGTCCCAGCACGTGGGAAGGGGAGGACAAGCCTTCCACCTGCTGCTCACGGCAGTGCCTTCGTTGTTTCAGGCCACTGACAAAGCCAGCAGGAAACGCTACGAACCCTCAGACAAGGACAGGCTGAGTCCTCCGGCCAAGCGCGCCAACCTGTCCCCAGACCGAGGTGAGCCATCCAGGCATCAGCAGCAGGGAGAGGGGGACTTCCCGGTGGGCTCCCATGATGCCAAATGGATGCACAGGGCAACCAGGAACCCGGTGCGGAGCTCTCGGCTCTTATTTCCCGCTGCCGTGTCCCTGGTTCTGTATTGGAACCCCCGGTAGTAAAGGCTGCCCCCCCATATAAAGATTGGCATCGGAAGACGACACTCGCTGTCCCTGGCCCAGTGTAACGTGTGATCATCTCACCTCCGCCCACGTTGCAGGTTCCCGGGACCGTAAGTCAGGGGGTAGGCTCAGCTCCCCGAAGCCCGAGCGCCAGAGAGCTCAAAACCCCAAGACCCCCACAGCTCAGCCAGACAGGTGAGTGCTGCTCAGTGAGATGAGGGGCATCTTTAGGGGCTCACCAGAGGAGGGCTGCGGGGTTGCCCCTCCTCCTGACAGTCTACCTCTCCCCACAGGAAGCGCCAACTGTCGCCCCCGTCTAAGGGCTCCAGCAAAGTCACAAGTGTGCCTGGCAAGGCCGTGGACGCGGCTGCCCCCAGTGTCCCCAGCACCAAGGCCGGGAAGGCCAGCACGCTGTCCAGGCGCGAGGAACTCCTGAAACAGCTCAAGGCTGTGGAAGATGCCATCGCCCGCAAGCGGGCCAAGATCCCCGGCAAAGTGTAGGCCGGGAGCGGAGCAGAGACTCGCAGGTTTTTATACGTACGTGAGCCAAGCCGTTTTGGATTTTGCAGTTACTGTCTTAATTTTGACTGCAATTCTTTTTAAAAATTTAAAAAAGGGGAAAAAATTTTTTCTCTCGCTGGAAAAGAAGCCACCCCCCGAGTAAAGATGATGCTGGGTCCCAGCTGCCTCCGCACAGCACCCAGACAGCAGCTCAGATGTGGCGCACCGAGCAGCACCGTCCCGGACGGGCACCGTGTCCACCTTTTGCTCCCTTGTCCTCCTTTGCTGCCCTCGCTGTGTGTCTCGGACCCTCATACTGCACTCTCCTCACCGTGTAGCAAGAAAACCGGAAAGGGGGCGACCTGCTGCACCTCACCCCGGTCAGAATATAGATTCTTGACTGAAGTCTGGGAAAAAAAATCCCTGTCTTTTATTTTAAGCATCAAATTGTTTTAGTTGATTTAAAAAGGAAAAAAAAAAAAGTAAGGCCAAGGGTATTGTTGGGGCGTCTGTCTATTGTGGAGGGTCTTTTTTTGAGGGGTCTCCTAAATAAAATATTTTGATAAGCATTTGTTTCTGACCCTCTCTTGGTGATGTGAACGCATGCCCGAGCCCCTCCTCCCTCCCCAGAGCTTTGGGCACCTGGGGGTCAGGAACCTGAGGCAGGCACTCCCTCCTCTGCCCGGCCCTGAGGGCAACCACTGTCCCTCCCCACAGAGTTTCAGGACGTGGACACATGGTGCCCACTAGGCTTGGCCACAAGCAGGTATGGAGGGAGCCTTCTCACCATTACTGGTGTTCACGGCTGCCCTGCTAGAATTCAGTGTGCAGTGGCCCTCAGGGACACCGGGGTCAGGTGAATCCACTACACAGCTGCTCCCCAGAGACTGGCCAACTGGACTGTGAGCTAAGGCAACGGCTAATATCGGGGAACCACACACAGACCCCTGTGCTGGGAGAAGGGCCTGCCACACCCTGGCAGGGCCAATGAATAGAAGATTCCGGGCCAGGCCGTGGGAAAGGCAGGCCTTTGTGTAATGTGGGTAGGATTGTCTCCCCCGCAGGGGAGTGCAGGCTGGACTGCCTGGGGGCCTGCTCCTCAGAGGCCACACTTGAGTCCCTCATCCTGTATCCTGGCCACTCACAGCTCCACCCATATGCCAGCCCTCCCCTTTCCTCTCCCTTCCACCTCAGGGCCTGTGCACATGATGAGTCCTGACACCCCCTCAGACTACCAACACCCTGCTCATGCAGGTGTGGGACCTGGCAGTATCTGAGGGACAGAAGGTGGCCCTTGCCCTGGAGGCCTGGGCCACATACAGTCTAAGGGGGTAGTGCCCCACTGCCAGACCCCCTGCCTGCACAGGATCCTTCACAGCTGAGGGACTGAGGCAGATTCCAGGGGAGCAAGACATTCCTGCAGGCTCCCTCTCTGCCTCTGCCGGCCCAGACACGCGTCTCTCCTGGTGTTCCGTCCAGCCCCTCTCCCTTGCACGCAAACGCCATCACGAAAGGGGTCGGGCACCGAAGGACGTTAGTGGGCGTGGTTTGAGAGGGGCGGAGCCTTCCAGGGCCACGCCCTCCTGGAACCTGCCGCCTTTCCCGTCTTGCCCAACCTAGGGACTTCTAGCCTCGCCTCAGTCGCCAGCAAGAATGCGCCTCCGCCCTGCATCCTTCCGGCCCTCCCCCACGTCAGATCCCCGACCCAAGAACTCCGGGCTCCCTGAGCACCCCTCCTGCTTGGCCAGCAGATTTCTTCAGTTCTCTCAGACAGTTGCATCCGCCGGCCACAAACCCTGCTAAGTGACCATGCCTACCCCGGGACCAGCGACAGGCGTGGTCTCTTCCTCCATCCCTTACGCCCTCTCGCATTTATCCTCACCACCACCACCACACACACCCTGCCAGAGCCCACAACGCCCCCTTTAGAGTCCCAACTCATTCCCTGGGCCTCTCAGTCCCAAAAGGAGTCCTCGGGCAGTGGGGACCTGAGGAGGAGCCAAGAGCGGAGGGACTGCCTCCCCACACCCCCTCCTCTCCTCAAGGGACCCGGGCAGGTTGGACAGGAGGCAACCAAGGGGGCTAAACTCCTAATTGTGCTCAAACCCATAGTGCTCCACCCCCAAGTCCACCTGGTTCCTCCCCTCCTCTTCCCCCTTCTTCCCCTTCCCCCAGGCTCCAGAGCCCCAGGAGCCGGCCTCCTGACTCACAGACGAGAATATGGGCACGCCCACCCTGCTTCCAGGAAGGGTCGTGCCCTCCCCTCCGCACCCCACCACTGGAGTCCCACCAAGATCTGTAGCTACACAGAGGGGACAGCGCTCCCCTCCATCAGAGGAGCTTCCTGGGCCCCTCCTCCCCGTAGGAGTCAGCCCCCAGAGGGACCTCAGGTCAGGGGATGGGAGAGAGGGAGGAGAGGGGACGAATGACTGCCTCAACCATAGCCATCTGCGAGGCTGCCACCTGACAGCTGACCCTTCCCCAAACAGGAAACAAGATCGCCCCTGGACTGTCCTTGGTACGTCACCACTGAAAACAGGCCGGCCGGCTCTGCCTCCCCTCTTTCCCAACACTGGTATAGGTCCCAGCTCAGGGGCTGCCATGGCCTGCCAAGGGGAGGGTGATGAGAACCCTGGGTTTCTGCACAGGGAAGACCTCAGCCTACATTTCCTACATATAACCCACAGTGGACTGACCTGGATGCGGCATTAGACAGAAAACCCCTCCTGGATGACCTCTTACCTACCACAATCTCGTCCATTCCCACTCAGAGAGCGGCCAGGCCCTATAAGGACTAGAAAAAGCCTCATCTTTCCCCCAGGTGCACCTGCTGGGTTTGAACTTCAGACCCTGCAGTTAGCATGAAGCGTTACTATTCTACAGCATCACCAGGGTTCCTCATCCTGGATTGGGGAGGGGGTGAGGGTTACCCCACTGCTAACACCAGTATGCCAGAGCTAGAAGTGATGTCTATGTGAGCCAAGGATGGCCACAGCCACCAGAAGCCAAGAGCCCAATACAGACAGACAGTGAGCTCCCCGTTACAGCAGGTATGCAAGCGGAGGGTGGAAGCATGAGAGAACACGATCATGAGGCAGTTACCACTGAGGCAGCATTTTCTCACCTGGATGCTGATAAGAGAGGCGGCAGGTCTTGGCCCCATTTGCAGGTGTGGGCACTGAGGTCACACAACAGCTAAGGTTGTGTGATCTCAGGGTCCACACTGAGGTCCCTGCAGCCCCCCCGCCTCACTATGATGGAGGGCTTAAACCTGGAGACACCTAAGGATGTCCTTGTTGGCACCTGCCAACAGTTGAGGGGACTAGAGGTAGGTGGACCGCGCCCCTCCCCACTCAGCAGGTCCAGCTAGACTGATCCCAGAGGACCAGGACACACAGGCGTAAGGCATGGAGGAACCGCACCCTACAAATAGTGTCTGACCCCCACATCGATGGGCTACTGAGAGGCAGGATGTGCATGACAGTTTATGGAGCTGGGGTGGGGGGGCCTTCTGTCTGGGGGAATGAGGTTCTGGAAATAGTGATGGGTGTCATTCAACTGTCACTGAAACCTGTAGAACGATTCATCTTACAGGCCACAGGACTCCCTTTACATTTGTTATCACAGATACACACGGGGTCTGACTCTAAATCGTCTAATTTATGGGTGACAAGGGTACCCCCAAGTCAGCCACACAGAGGAGCTTCCCTAAATGTAGCCGCTCATATATGGCCTGGTATGGCGTTGTAGAATAAGTTCTCAACCACAAGGTCAGTAGTTCAACCTCGCCAGCGGCTCCTCCAAAACCCCATACAAGGTCTCTATGAGTCAGGACCGACTTGATAGCACTTAACACCACCACCACGGAGGGTCATAACCTGTCTCTTGGACTTTGGAAACGTTCTCATAGGGACCAGGACATCATGCTTCAAGTGAGGGTCACACCAAAACAAAAGAACCCCCAACAAGATGGATTGGCACAGTGGCAGCAGCAATGGGCTCAAATATACCAACTGTGAGGCTGGCACAGGACTGGGCAGTGTTTCTGGTTAGCACAGGGAGCCAACAACAAAGGACGATGGCTGTGGAAGAGGATACTTCATCTCCCTCAGATCACAGAAACAGTCACCGAACAACACAGCCGGGTGGCCACAGAACCAAGGAGCCAACATAAAGACCCAGACTGAAACTTCGTTCATAGAAGATTCTAGAACATCAGACAAGGCAGTCTCCACTGATGGTGCTACATGCAGGTAGCTGGTGTACATAAGGGAGGTATCTGTCTGGGTGGGGAAGGAATCAGGGCCGGGAGGTGCAACAAACTTCACATGGTGGTTCCTTGGTATCCCGGGTCTACAAGGCTGAGGGGATGGAGTGGGGGTGGGTGTCTGGCTTCCTGGGAAAGGACAGGGACAGTCAGGGAAGGAAGCCCACGGCTGGGCACTTCCCAGGAGGAAGCGGCAAGGGACCGGATTTTCCCCAGGTGTGTCCCCAGGTATAAAGGGCGCTGCATACAGCCTTCACCGCCAGGCGTGATCAATCTTAACCCAGACGCTCCTGCCAAACCGTACGCATTGAAGCCACTGCCATGGTGAGCAGCTGGCTCCCACCTGGCCCCAGAGGGCTGGGAGTTCACTGATGCCAAGGTTTAGATTTGGGAGATGGGTTGGGGAGTCCTCCAAATCTGTGGGGAGTGGGGAGCCAGAATCACCCAGGGTCCAGTATTTGGGGTGTACTTGGGGAGACGGGGTTGGTCCCTGGGGCTTCATTCCCCATCTGTCAGAGGAGGGACACAGGTGAGCTAGGTGAGAGTCGGGCGGCCCTGACTGGTCCCTCTGACAAACACTCTCTGCCCCACCAGCACCTCCAAGAGCTCCTGCTTCTGCTCTGGCTGCCTGCCAACCTGGCCCACCATGCTGCCCCGCTCAGGGGACCCCATACCCAGGAGACCACGCGCTGCTACTCCGCTGACGAGCTGACCCTAGGCCAGCCTCCCCAACACCTGTTGGCTCGAAGCGCCCGGTGGGAGCAGACCTTACCAGTAACCCTGGTGTCAAGCGTCGAGACGGCGGGCCGCAGGAGACGGCAGGACAGGTCCCCAGCAGAGAACCCGTGCCCGGTGCTTCGGCCAGAGCAGGTGTTGGAGGCAGAGATCCATCAGCGTTCCATATCACCCTGGAGATACCGGTGAGCTCCGGCAGGCCCTGGCTTCCCGAAGGGGGGACCCAGACTGTGTCTGCAGAGGCCCTCTGACGGCCTGCTCCCCAAATCTCAGTCTAGCGTCCCTAGGGAAAGTTCTGGGCGCAGCACTTGCGCCCCTGTGGGGACCAGACTGGGCTTGGTGGGGAGGTAGAAGGACTTTCGGAAGTGCCCCCTCTCCCCTAGTCCTGTGTCTGTGTTCTGGGAGCGCAGACCTGGCTAACTTAGGGCCATTTATGGGCACCGTCTGGTGTGGCGCCGTAGGAGAAGCACTTGACTGCTAACCGCAAGGTCGGTGGTTCAAAACCCACTAGCTGCTTCTCAGAAACCCCATGCGGGGTCGCTAGGCGTCGGAACCGACCCGACGGCACCTAACAAGAACAGTCTGTATGCCGAGCCCTGAAAGCCCTGCCTATGACCCACATCCACGGCGCGGCTCCTGATTCCTGGGCGCTTTAGGGGCAGAAGGGGGACGCCACGGACCGTGGCAGACGGGGGTGAGGGTGCCCGAGTGGGGCGGAGACTCACCCCTGCCGCCCGCCGTCCGCAGCATCGACACGGACGAGAACCGCTACCCGAAGAAGCTGGCCTTCGCCGAATGCCTCTGCCGGGGCTGCATCGACGCGCGCAGCGGCCGCGAGACGACGGCGCTCAACTCGGTTCAGCTGAGCCAGAGCCTGCTCGTGATAAGGCGCCGCCCGTGCGCCCCCCACGGCGCCGCCCACCCCCAGCCCGGGGCGGTAACCTTCCAAGCCGAGTTCATCCGCGTACCGGTCGGCTGCACCTGCGTCGTGCCCAGATCGACGCAGTGACGGCCTCAGCTGTGCGCATCCGAGCAAAGGGCGGAGCCCTCCCCCAGCTCCTCCCGCCTATTTATGTGTATTTATTGGTTATTTATGTGGGTCCGCTGTGTGTGGTGGTCAGGCGGTTCAAACCCGCCAGCTGCTCCTCTGCTCCTCTGGAGACAGAGGAGGCTCTGCTCCCGAAAAGATTTACTGTCGCTACAAGTTCCGCCTTAGGGACCACCCTCCCCACCGCACCCACTCCGTCCTCCGCTTCTGTTGAGGTGGATGGTGGTGGTGATGAACCTGAGCTACAATGGTCCATTTCAGCCTCAATTTACCATTTGGTAAAAGGCAAGCGGACCATATCCCCCCTTCTAGAATGTTCGAATCAATAAAAGGTGTGGAGGTGGACCACCTAGGGACTCCTCTCAGCTCCACTCCCCAACGCTGATTCCAGGTTGGTCCAGGTCAGCCCACCTCCTAGGAGGAAAGTCATCTATTTTCTTAATAAACTTTTTATTTTAAATGTAAATAGTGTAATTAAATTGATAGACACCCCAGAAGGCATTCAATGGCACAAATGGTCACCCCCACCTCTAAATGACCAGATTCCAGCGCGTGCAGGCCCCCTTCAGAGGGCAGTCGGCCCTGCTCTCCGTCCCGCAAGGGCCAGCTGCCACAACCCGGATGGAATGTCACAGCTATCACCCATTTGGGCATAATCATGGTGGGGGCATTAGGTTAAGGGCCCCTGAGTGAGTGGTCTATGGAGGGGGCTGCCCTGCCACCCCAGATTCTCACCCCCCCCCCATGCAAAGATGCCCACTGACGCGTGTGGATAGAGCCCGTTCCTGGCTCTGAAACCATCAGACGGATGCCAGCCGTGGCTGAGAGCACACTTGTGGCAAGGGTTTGGTTTGGCGGTCCAGCAGCGGAGGAGGGGGCGCACCTCGCTGGGCTATCACACTCAGATGGCCCCAAGCTGAGGGGAGGGGCTGGGGGAAGGCGTGCTGGGAGCCCATCTGTTCTGGGGGCTTTGGAGGCTGGAGGGAGCTGCATCTTGTGGTCTGGGCAGAGGTAGGAGGCATAGGGTGGGGCAAGACGATGGGGCCTCTGGGTTTAGGAAAAAGCCAGAGGGGTAAGGGAAAGGAAACAGGATCAGGGAGCGGGAGGAGGCCCCCCTCGTCCACCCCAGCTATCTCCACCTGAAAGGTGGTAGGCGGCAAGGTCCCCTAGTGCCCAGAGCAGGTAGGACACACAGCAGAGAGGGGCGCGGGGGAGGGGGGGTGTTTGATGGGGAGGGACCATGGGGTAAGAAAGAGTGCCCAAATTGAGGCGGTAAACTGAAAACAAACACTCTAGGTGGTTGTGGGGGCAGCTACGAGGGCCTCCAGGTGGAGATCAGGCCAGAGTCCCCGCCAATTTAGCCTAGCGTAGTAGAGTCTGGAACGCAAAACTCCACCCCGTCCATCGGCTGACCAGCTGACCTCAACAAACATCACCTGCGGCTGCTCCAGGGCTTACCTGCCTTACTACCCCCCCACCTCCTCTCAGTCTTCACCCATGCCCCTGGAAAATTCTGGAAGCGAGGCCCCTCAGGTAGTACTAGGGAAGCTCTGGGAAAGCGGGTCCTGCAGCGTTCACTCCTGCCAACCCAGGTTAAGTAAATTCACAGAGCAGAATTTCAAACCCTTAGTTTATCTCAGATGCCTCATTTTATAGAATATACGAGGCACTGTAATTTCATGTGCCACTGAAAAGAAAACGATGCAGCAAATGGCGTCAAGACACGGCCTGTGGTACTACTGCAAAGGCAGAAAATGGGGTAGACTATGGGGGCTTGGGGGAGACCCCAGGCGCGCGCCCGCCCATTCTCCACGAACACGCACTTGGTTTATTCCCAGAGGGTGTGGGCGCCGCCTGGTGGCCGCAAGGGGAAATCACACAACCTCGTCGGTCACAGGCAGTGGATTGGTCTGGCCGCTCTCCTGGGAGCCCCCTGCCGCTGCGTCTTCTTGCCCCTCACTCAGCTTCTTGCGGACCTCAGCTGGGGGCCGGGGCGGGGGGTTGGTCGGTGGTTGCTTGATGGTGCCTCCCACCTGAGGCAACTCCCTGGGTTTCTGTTCAATGGGGGTCCACTGCTCACCTCTGATGGCCGCCTGGAGGGAAGAGCATGCTGGGAACGGCTCTTTTCCTCCCCGGTCATGCACAACCCCCACCCGTACCTGAAGGACCTGAAGTTCAGAGAGGCTGAGAAACAGATCCAGGAATGGGTGGATGGGGGGAAGGTGTGGGAGGTGCAGGTTTCTGGGGGCCACTTACTGAGGCAAATCGCAAGGCATACGGGAGGGGGTTGGTCCCCAGGTCAGTTCCCAGGGAGGGATGAGGTCCAGGGGAGAACAGAGACCTGTTCTGGCAGGCCCTGACCCTCAGGACACCTGGTCTAACACTCTCCATGCCTCAGTGTGAGTGTGTGTTTAGGATCAGGGAGGGTGTCACAAAACAGAGATTCTTGGGCCCCACGCCCAGAGGCTCAGCTTTAACAGGCTGCAGACCAGGGAATGCTTATTTTAAATGTACTTTCATAGTATTTGATCAATACAAAAAGATGTAACGATTAGTGGGGGAAGGGGGGTATTCAAAAAAATTCATGGAAAAACATAATGAAAAGACAATGGAATTTTCCCAAGAACTTTTGGAAACCATGTCAGATATTCTGTAAGGATCCCTAGTGGTGCAGTGGTTAAGCACTGTGCCATAAATCTAAAGGCCCAAGATTCAAACTCACCAGCTGCTCCGAAGATGAGGCAGCCTAGATGTACAATCCTGGAAACCCTATTAAGGGCAGCTGGCCCCCCACCGCCCCCGTGTGTCACTGAGAGTCAGGGTCGACGGTAGGTTTGGATCTTGGTGGTGGGTGCCATGGAGTTGGTTCTGACCCATAGCGACCCCGTATAGTGTTTTCAAATGGCTAGTGAGCTTGAACCGCTGGCCTATGTACAAGAAAATCCTGCAGGGAGAGTAACACACTGCTTTTGCTCTTGCCCCACCACATATATTTTTGTAAGTCACTAAGCTCATTTTTAAAGACTTTGGCTGAAGAAAAAAAAATGTTTTTAATTAGCATAGTGCAATTACAAAAACACCCCCTAGTAACAGCTAAGATGTGGACTCCAATGTGGCTATGTGGGATCAGCACTCTACAGTGAACCACAAGGTCAGCGGTTCAAACTCACCAGCTGCTTCTCAGAAACCCTATACCGGGTTGCTGAGAGTCGGAACCAATTCTTGCAGGTCAACAGAAAGCAGGACAGCAAGGCCCACAGAAAGATGGACTAAGATTACAAACATGACATTTACAGAAGAGGCACACAGAGGTGAACACTCTCCACCTTATGCCTGGTAAACCAGAGCTGTGCAAAGGTGTGTGTGCAGGGGGAGAGGGGGACAAGGAGGTGGATGAGGTGGGAGATGGAGAGACCACAGGTGTCAGCAAGCACAGCCAGAGGCTGAGCTGACATAGTAGTTCTGCTCCAGACCTAACCTGCGGGCATTCAACACTCATGTACCAGGGAGAGCTGGGCTGCAGGGGTCAAATATGGGGCCTCCACAGGTCTGAACAGCAACTCGAGGTGAAAAGAGAAGGGCAGGAGTCACCACAATCTGAAAGAGGACTCCAAGTCTATACAGACGAGAACACTGAAGACACGCCACACACCCAAGAACAGCGGCCTCTGAGTCGGGTGGGGATTGATCACCATACAGCGAGGGGCTCTAACTGCCCTTGTATATACCAGGGAAACCCCCAACACTTTACCCCAAGCACAGGGTTCCTGTGTGTCCCCAGCCCATGTCCTCTGGCCTCAAGCAGAGGTGACCATTGGTCGCTTATCTGTTCCTGCCCTTTTATGAAGATGGTGTTTTCACACTGGAGAAGAGATGGTCTAGATAAGGAAAAACCCTGATACGGAAGCCCAGGCGGGGTGCCAGCCGTGTTCTGTGCTTCTGGGCAAGCCTTAGACCTATGTGAGCTTCAACTTCCGTGTAGCGGGGCTCAGCCCCCACCTTAGAGACGCAGACTGAATGAAGAGGAAGGTCCTCGGGTGTTATAGAGTGTTCTCATGAGGACCCAAGAGCCCCGCTGGCCTTGCTCTGCCCACACAGGAGCTGCAAGGCTGAGACTGTCAAGAACTCGGGGGCTGCCGACGGGGACATCACTCACCAGCAGATAGATGCCACTCGCGATGGCCAAGCAAGCAGTCCCCAGGATAGTGGCAAGGAGGAAGCCTGCAGGGACCGACAACCTAGATGTGGGGACAGGGGACACCAGGAAGTATAATCAGAAAGGGGCTGGAAGCCCCAGTCCTGGAGCAGAGACCACACGATCTCAGCACAAAAAGAAACAAAAATGTGTCATCTTATGGGACCCCAGACCAAGGGAAGGTCCAACCCTGCCAAAGTTTGGCTTACCTCTTTTAGCCCGTCAAGCTGTACAACACTAGCTCTTAGGACCCAGTCACCATGTTAGGAAGAAGCCCAAGTAGCCATGGAGAGGTTGTGTGTGAGTGTTTGAGCCTTAAGGCAGCGTTAACCAGCCAGCATGTGAATGGGGACTTTTTCAAGGCAGCGACCACATGACCCCCACCTCCACAGCAAAATCTGCCCGGCTAACCCCAGAACTATGGCTGGGGTTGAAGCCAATCAAGAAATAATTAACAGAGGTTTGGGGTACCTCTGCCAGAGCTTGGGTTCTGGGTTTTTGTTTGGAAAGCATCTGGGGGTGTGTGTGTATGTGACTTGGTCCATGTACCAGACTAGGGGGAGTATCTACTCCACACCCTCCTCGTTCCTAGAGCTGGATGAGAAGAGCAGATGGGGACTCACGCGAGGTGCAGGAAGGCCCGGATGTAGTAATTCCTGGTAAGTGGCCCGAACATCTTTACCAAGGACGTCATATACCTCTGCCCACTGGGTGGAATGGAGGCACAGGGGACAGACAGTGGGTTCAGTATCTGTCCCACTCAGGACCCGCCCCCCCCAAGCACTCCTCCAGGGCACCCCAGGAACCACGAGGAAGAAGCTGGGCAGGTATCTGGCCTCAGTTTGTCCAGGTGGAGAATGGGTTGGTGCCTGTAGCCTCAAATAAAGGGACCAAGTGTCTGCAGGTGATACTGGCTTAGTTTCCTGACTCTGTTCGTTCTGCCGGAGCCCTGCATCCCTGGGGTAAACCCAGCACTTCCAGATGGGTCCCAGGGCCTCCCAAGATAGACCTCAAGACCTCACAGACCCAGGGACAGACCCCCCAGTGGCCCCTTGGTAAGTAAGGTGAGGACTCACCAGCGCTCCATGGTGGAGCCCTTCTTCCTCTTCCCTCGGGGGTACTCCAGCAAGCAGACCAGGACTCCGGCGGCACTAAACTCGGTTAAGGAACAGCCTGGCCCGAGAGGGGACGAGGGGGCTCATGGAGACCCGAGAGTCTGAGGAGCTGCTGCTGCCCGAGGCCACAGATGGACACAGGTCTGACCTTCATCCTGCCTTAGTCTAACGCCACCATTCACTTGCCCTACATGGGACAGGTTAAACCCTGTGTGAACGCAGGTGGGCCCCACTTCCACAGTACAGAATGAGCCCTGTCATCCCTGAACTGAGCCTCTAAACAGAACAGGGTGAAGAGCATTCTTCAAATGATGATGTGCACATGGGGCCAGAGACATCACCCCCCAGCCCCCTGCCCATGCCCTTGGTGAAGCGTGGCTGCCACCCACCCTGTTCACCCATGCTGGGGGCACTGACTGTAGACAAGGATACATAGAGTATGCCCCAAAGTACCACTGGGTGAACTGGCCAGCAGTAGCCACGATGCCCCCTGAAATGAGAACTGTGGACAGAGGAGAAGCAGGTTAGCGGAGAGTCCCTGAAGGAGGAGCTGTGGACCAGGCACTGGTCCACACACCCCAGATCAGCCTTCCATTCCATCCACATGCTTGTCAACCTGGTCAGGAGGAAGAGCTTAGGGGGGTGCCTTTAGACAGTTGGGGATGCTCTCCCCGGAAGGTGCTGGATTGAAGCAGTACTCACTGGTGTAGGGAAGGGAGGAGCTGAGAGACAGGCAGCCGGGTAAGGTCAGGGGTCGAAGCTCCAGAGCTTTCACAGCACACTTGTCCCCCCACCTCAAGCTCTGTGACCCCGGCTGTAGACTTGGAATTCTGAGTCTTTGCTTTAGGGATGTGAAAATTATATGGTTGAAAGGTAGTTCCTTTCCTTTTTATTATATGATAGTGACATCTATTTTATTACATGATATTGACATCTATTTTAATTATGATACTGACATCTATTTTATTATATGATATTGACATCTATTTCTATCAACGTTTTCACAGTAACCAAAATCTTATCTGCTGTGGGTAGTACTAGAGGAGTTGTAGGATCAGCACTGGACTGATAACCACGAGGTTGCCAGTTCAAACCCACCAGTCACTCCTTGTAAACCATATACAGGGCGGCTCTGAGTCAGAGCAAGGAGCTCTGGTAGCGTAGTGGTTCCGAATCGGGCTGCGAACCACAAGGTCAGCAGCTCGAAACTACCAGCTGTTTCGTGGGAGAAAGATGAGGCTTTCTGCTCCCGTAAAGATTTACAGCCTCGGAAACCCTGTACAGGGTCGCTATGAGTCGGAACCGACTCCATGGCACATAACAACAACAACATGAGTCAGAGCTGACTGAAGGGCACATGCCAACATTGCAAGTCCCTGGCTGGCACATGTGTGAAAGGTTGGCAGGAGGCACCTCCTCAGAAGACAGGCATGAAGACACGCTTCCAAAAGGTCCAAAAAAAACCCCAAACCTACTGTCACTGAGCAATTCCCCACACTCATGAGGACCCAGTAAGACAGAGAACTTACTCCTTAGGGCGTAAATCTTTACAGATGCAAACTCCCTCATCTTTCTCCCACAGAGCGGCTGGTGGGTTAGAATTGCTGGTCTTGTGGGCAGCAGCTCCTAACTCACTGTGCCAACAGGGTTCTTTCAGACAAGTGGCACAGGACAAAGTTGAGACTTATGTTGTAGTGACTGGTTCCCCACCCAGAGCCCAGACAGCAGAAAGCGCCTGTCTTTACTGTTTGCAGGGCTGGGCGAGGTTTGTCTAGTTTGTTCATGTACAAGTGGCTTTTCCCACTGGAGGGCTCCCACAGGGTCTGCGCCTCCAAGACCCAGGTTCTCAGTTGCCCCGACTTTGGCCCTGGGGACGTCTGACTCTAATTTTGAGATGGGTTACCTATTAACATGTTTGGTATGTCCGTCAGCATTTTTGTGATGGAAAGGAAGAGACAGACTTCTCAAGGGTTCAGTCAGCACATTGCTGACTGCCACCTTTGGGGTATCATGTCCCTGTCCTTAGCCTCAGTTTTGCTACCTGCCATCAGCTTGACTGTCTTCATAGGAGCTGGGAACTCGGCAGTGGCCCGGGCAGGCAAGGGCTGAGCCTTCAGGGAACTTACAGGCTAGTGAGGTGACGTGGGTCAACCTGTGGGTGGTGTGGGATGTGGAAGGAAGTGACCAGGGGCTCCAAGAAACTTTGAGTAGGTGACCCTACTGACCCTACAGTATGTTCCAAAGAGGGGCAGCATCTTCATGGACCCCTCAGGAGGGCCAGGGATGGAGGGGCCCGAGTGGCTGGTGGGAGGAAGAGACAGGAGGGAAGTCCTGGAGGGTTTAAATGAGGACGTGGCAGGACCTGAATTCATAGGATTGGAGGGTAAAGAAAATTCTGCTTAACGGGACAGACAACTAAAAACAGGGCTGGAGTCCTGGTGTGGTGCTACAGGGTACAGCACTAGACCACAAGGTTTGAAATGCAAGGTGGGCGGTTCAAACCCATCAGCCGCTCTTATACAGGGTCGCTATGAGTTGGAATTAATGTGACAGATCTTCACAACTACAGGGTTCAGTGAAGCTTAAGCAGAGGTGTGAGTTGAAAAGGAGTCAGTTAGAGGTGGCATGCTGGGCTGGACAGGCCTTCAGCCAAGCATTCCAACCCATGATCGAGGGAACCAACTGCTTATGCCTCCAATTTCCTGTCTGTACTTAGAAGCAGTGCATTTAGGAATCCTTAGGTCGCTGGTTCGATTCTGGCTTGAAGGAATGACATGTACATGACAGTTTTGCTGAGTTCAGATGTGGCGCTGTAGGTTAATGCACCAGACTGCAAAGCCGTTTCAAATGCAAGGTCGGCGGTTCAAGCTCACCAGCTGCTCCTTGGAAACCCTAGACAGGGTGGCTGTGGGTCGGAACTGATTCAACGGCACTTCACAACAACAACTTAAGAATAGAACCACCTGACAGTGCATGGGGCGTTGAGGAGACAAGGAGCGGAAAATACTTGGTGTAGAGTAAGGATACCTAAGGTCTCAGGTGAGTGGTAAAGTTGGGACCCTGCTCACATCTCCTAGTCTCAAGTTCCTCCCTTCCACTCAGTCCCAGGGGTGGGGGAAATGGCAGCAGGTCCTTGGGGAATGGCTGACTGCCGGGAGAAGAGGAGCTTTCAGAAGCTTCCTTCCTCTTGCCTCAGACCCAGGTCCCCATCTGCCTCTCCTGAGCCACCCAGTCTGAGAGACTTCCGCTTTGCTTCCACACACCAAGCTGGGTGCCGGGACCCTGCTCCTTAACAAGGCCGAGTTGGAGGACCCCTCCGCCTAGAAGATGCCCTACGTGGTGAACCCCTCTCCCCATACACTGGCCCCCTAACTGGCTGGGGTGGGAGAAATCTCACCCAGGCTCACAGTCCTCACTCCTGGACTGCATTATGGGGAATGGAGTGGGGGGTGGGGGTGGGGAGGTAATTACCAAGTTTTCCCAACCCAGGCTGGGTTTGTCTCTTTCCCTCCGCGCGCGCTTCCCCCCCTCCCTCTGAAACTTCCTCTCCCGCCGTGCCGTCCGGCAGGGTGGCCGCGGAGGGGGTGCATCGGTCTGCAGTGGGGGTGCTGCATACTTTGGGGTCCCTACACCCTTCCTTCCACAGTACAAGCCCAAAGTCTCTGACGCTCCCGCCCCGTTCCAGCCCACTGCCTGGGTCTCCAGCTCCCACTCAGGATGCACAGCCCAAGGTCTCTGACTCCCTAAATTCCTGGCTCCCCAGCTCCAGCTCCCATCCAGGGGATGGGGGTCACTTCCTCCTCAGTCTGTAGGGACAGAAGGGGGTGGGTCGGCCTGTAGCTCCCTTTCCCAGCCCGCAGCCCCGGGCCTCGCCCCCCACTTGCCCCGCCCCCACTCCGGGGTGTCGACCCCCGGTCTGCCAGCATCCCCCCGCACTCGCCCGCGCTCACTCAGGCCCGACGCCAGCGCCTGCTCGTTGGCCCACATGGCCCACTCGATCTGCCCCATGGCGGCCGCTGCTCAACTCTTAGCCCCGCGGTTCCGCTTTCAGGGACCCCACCCCCCGACCCGCCCCAGTTCCGGCACCGCCCCGCCGCGCCCCCCCCCCCCCCCACAACCCACCCACAACCAAGACACACCACCTCCACACCGCCCCCACCCCCCCCAACATAGAGGCACGCCCCCATCGGTCAGGTGGGGAAACTGCTCCGCATCCTGCCCTCCTCCGCAGAGACCAGCGTGGTGCCCGAGGCCAGGAAATGGACCCAGCTGCGCTCAAGCCCCGCCCCGCGAGGCCCACTTCCTCCTCCCGCCCCCAGGGCCGCCGTCCGTTCTCAGGGCCTGTGCCCTGTGGGCTCTGGCTGGGCACCGGCCTTCCTGACCCGGTCTCCGAGCTTCCGTCCACTCCCTGGCTCTGCCTTTTCGCGTGTCCTTTGTCTTGTGGGCGCATTAGGGGCAGGCCTAGTGCTCACCCAGGCTGCTGTCTGTGTTCAAGGGGTTTAATTGGCTGCTGGACCACAGGCCTTCCCCACCTGAGCGGGGAGCTAACAAGCCCCCACCCCTGAGAACGTGTTATTAGCTACTCCTGGGGCCACCTTGCACGGGGGAGGGGGTCAATTAACAGGGCCAACCTATGAAGAGTGTGTCAAACTGGGTTAGCAGGGACAGGAACTGGGTGAGGCCTCTCTCCAGGACCCAGGGTTGTGACCCTGACCTCTTCCAGGATGTAAGGCTTCCAAAATCTGGGAAAAGGGAGCAGCAAGTGGGCGGGGTCCCACGGGTGGAGGGGTTCTCAGAAACCCCAAGCAGGGTCCCAGTGATTTGGGGTTTCTGCCAGCTCTCTAGCTCAGCTGAACCTGAGCTCGTCCTGTGTGCTGGGGAGGGGGGCGGATGGGAATCTGAGACTCCTCCCACCTTGACGCCCACACCTGTCAGGGCTGGTGCCTGCTCACAGTACCCAATGGTCCACCTGCAGTGAGGGGCTCTAAGGACCTCCTGACCTTGCTGGTAGGCAGATGGCCCCTGGGGGGGGGGGGGGTCAGTGTTACTTCCATTAGTCCCTGAGCTCAGGATAAGCAGGTGGGCAGTTGAAGTATCTTATTAATCACCTGTCTCTGATGGTGTGAGAAGGCAGCTTCCAGCTCAGGGACAGGATGTAAGCGCCCCTCCTAGGTAACAGCTGTCCATCTCAGTGCCCATAGAGGTCTATAGAACTCCTGCCCCCATGAACCTTGAGGAAGTCTAGTGACCAGGGTGCCAATGAAGAGAGCTGAGGCCAGAGCTCAGTGACACTGAATTTATTCTCATTGAAACACCACATGGTGAGGGTGCCAGCACGTAACCATGGCGATGGCTCAGAGGCCACTTACCCTCCGTGGGGGGCTGGCACCCACAGCAGCTAGGAGAGCCCCTCCCCCAGTCCATAGTGGGTTTCATGAGACCCTCATCGATTCCTGCTCTGTGCCGTCATGTACCACTGGAGACCCAGTGCCCCTGCCTCAGTGTGACAGTGTCCAGAGCTGTAGGGGTGGCCTCTCCCCGTGGCGTCATGGTCACACTGGAATGGTGCAGTCTTCCAAGCCCATCCCCACCTCAGCGCTCACTGCCTGCGAGGCTCTAGGCGTCGCCTGCTGCCCCAGCATGTCACCCTGGCTCCAGATGCTGGCCCACTGACAGGCGGTCAGGCAGAGGGCTTCGGCAGACCATCAGGCCCCAGGAGGTGAAGGTGGGGACTGTCCAGGACTTGAGGCCCTGGCCCTGCCTGGGGGCAAAGAACTCCATGTCAGTCGCCATCAGCACCCCCACCCCACCTGCTCCAGCAGGCTTTAGGGGGCTGGGAGGGGTCTAGTTAGAGCAGCTGGTGCGGGGGTGGAAAGACTCTCATCATCCAGCTATACTGCCCCCCATGAGCCGTAAGCTAACTCCTATGGGTGGAGCTACCTCTCCTCACCCCCACCAGGAACTCCTGTTCACCTGTCTGTCACCTAGACCCAGGGTGGGCATATAGATCACAGGGACCCTCAGCACTCCCAACTCCATCCAGAAGCTACTCGTTCTAGTGAGCGGTCCCTCGCCTGATGGCCCGTCTGTCCCTGCCCAGGGCTACACCTACATTTGTTTTCTAGAACCTGAGATGATGCAAGTTTGGATGAAGGCGCGAAAGTACCGTGCCTTCCCACGGAGTGGGACCCAGAGAGTGGGAAATGCTGCCCATTCCCCTCCTGCCAGTGAGGCCTCGACCCACACGGAGCCTGAACCACGCACACCAGCCGCCTGAGTCCAGATTGGCCCGCCTCACGCAGAGCCAGAACTTGACACTCCAGCTTCCTGAGCCCAGACTCACCTTTGTAGTGATGATGTATCTGATGCCCCCGGGGGCTGGGTTCAGCGCCAGTGCGGCCTTCAGCTTGTCCGACAGCTGGACTGACCTCACTGGCAGTCCCTTCAGAAACCTAAAGAAAGACAGTGGGTCACTGAGGCCTCCCCTTGGGTCTGGTCACCGGAAGCCCTGTGCCAGGTGTGGGGGCTAAGAGGAAGAGTCCCACTCAAAACCCTGATCACCATCGCAATCCTCAGACCAGGGAAGCCCTGCAAATGTCAGGGCTACTGTGCGGGGGTCAGTATTCTCAGTCCCCCACCGGAGAGGCAGTATCACCCCAATTATTGGACAAGTGACACCCCATATATACCCTAGACTGTCCATGGGACGCCAAGACACATCACAGTTACTAAGAGGTGAGCCCCCCTATAGTCACTGCCTGTGGCCTCCACACATTACCCACCTATGGCCCTTCCTGTGGGTATTATCTGCTCCCTGCTCTTGGCAGAACGCCCAAATCTCCCACCAAGGGGGAGGGCAACCACTCACTTGTCTCCATTAGGCTCTGGGGGAAAGCAGTGCCTCACGGCGGCCACAAACTCAGCCATGGTGTCTTCCAGGGTGAAGATCACGGCATTGGGGCCCGCATCAAACGTGTACGCCACCTGGAATGTGCTGGGTCAGCCTGGCTGTCCACATAACACTGCCCACAGGCCAAGCAGAGAGGTGACAGACACAGCTTCTCTGACGGAGGACCCCCATTCCCAATGCTCAGATGGCGCTGCAACCCTGTGGGGTCCTGTGTGGATCAGGACACCATTTACAGGGAACAGAATCCAGCAGAAAGAAACCCAGAATGCTTTGCACACCATGAGGGTGAGGCAGGGTGTGTGAAGCGCCCCGTGTTTGGGGTACAGGATACTGCATGCTCTCCCAGGAATACAGGAGGGCTGAGAGCAGCGTGGGTGGAGCCAAAGGAAGGGGTCCTGGCTGTCCCCTACCTTGGTCTGGCCGTGGTACGTGTTGAAGCGGTGCACAAGATGAATGATGTTCTTGGAGGTGTCATTGAGGTAAGAGATTGGGGGGAAAGTGTCTAGGCAGGTGGCGTGAAACTGGTTGCTGTCCTTCATGGTCAGCTCGCCGAAGGTGGCGAAGTCCCGATCTCGGATACACCGGATCATCTCAGTCATTCGCGTGGGTACCACAGACGCTGCCCGGAACTGCAGGGTGACAGGGGTGTCCTGTGAGGCGGGGCCTTCCTAGCAAGCCCCTGAGCTGGCTCTGTCACTTGGGCTGCCCCTCACCTGGAGCAGGGCGCTGGTCTCCACACTCGTCTGCATGCCTGAGGTACTGCTTGTTAGTTTCTTGTCTGCGCTCACCTGCAGGACAGCGCGAGGCCTTGCTCTGTGGCCACGCCCACCCGCCCCAGCTCTGGGGATTAAACCTCATCAAGGAGGGTGCCTGGACTCCTGCCCCCACCACCTCCTCCTCATGACCTTGAATCCCTCAGCTGGGGTGGAGGCAGGAAACCCGAGCTACGCTGACCAGAGAGAGACTCCGGCCCCGGGGAGGCAGTGTGGCTCTGGTCCAGTCCACTAAGAAGGCCTGGGCTCACTCACCACCAGGACAAGGATGCGGAGCTCTGGCCAGTGCGACTCAGGGGCCACCTGCTGGGCGATGCTGTCCTTACCGTCCGCTTGCTCCCCCCGCTGCCACTGCACAAAGCCACCATACAGACTCCGGCAGGCGCTGCCAGAGCCACGGCGGGCCACCTCTGACAGCTCGGCTTCCACCCCATAGACTTTCGCTAGGGTGTAGGCTACAGGCAAGGAGGGTGGGGGTCTCAGAGACTGCCAAGGAGGCTGAGACCACAGCAGCATCCACAGGTCCCCCACGGATGGGCGATCCACAAACGCTGAGACCATCACCGCCCAGGGTCACTGGCCCGTCCACCACCCTCCTTCCCCACGCCCACGCCTGTTCATCCTGTCCACCTATCACTCCCATCCCAATCAAGAGCTTGCTCTGGAGACAAAGTAGACTAGATCACAGCCCCAGACTTCACCATCTTGGGTTCTCAAACCCCTGGGGGAATGGCAGGGGACAGCTATAAGGGGCTGAGGGGGCATCTGAGGAGGGGCACCTGAGCTGGGTCGTCTGGGGCAGGGGCGAGATTCAGAGGCAGCTCAGCATGAGGCAGTGCTGGGGGTCTAGGGCAGCGTCCAAGCAGAGGTAGCCCACCCAGAGAGGCTGAATGCCCAGACCTGCTCACCCAGGACACTCACGTGACCTGAGCGGGGTCAATAAATGCCATCCTGGGATTTATGCTGGGGCTACTGGGGAAGACGTGCCCCCTCCACAGCCTCACAGTACTGGTGACTGGCTCTGCCGCCACACGGTGGTGGGTGATGGCAGAAAAGGCAAAGCTCAGACTTAGAGATTCCACAGATGTTACTGGAAGCCTGCATCTAGCAGCGCCTCTTGGACTTCTTGATTACAAGAATCAGCAATCATGATTATTTCAGCTTAAAGCACTTGGGGGCAGGTCCAAGCATACAGGACACTGGAGGGGACAGCTGCACATGGGCACCGTACCACCATACAGAGGCTCGAGTCCCCACAGTACCCACCCAGACAGGCATAGCCCGCAGCAGAGGAAGCCAGGCCCGCGGCCGTGGGGAAGTTGTTCTCAGATGCGACGTGCACCTTGTAGCTGAGGCTGGGGGGCGGCGCGTTCCGGTCATCTGAACTCCTGCGCTTCCGGGCCAGGCGGTGGACTGCCGGCCAGGACATTGTTAGCACCGGATGAGACCAAGAAGAGGCAGGAGTCTAGTTGACCCAAACTTTCACAGAGGCCCCAGACCCACCCAGCGCTCCGGGAAGTCAGGTGGGAGGGTAAACCAAGGACAAACTGCTGCCACTGGAGTCCCGGTGTGGCCCCACATAAGGTCAGCAGTTCAAACTCGCCAGCCTCTACTCAGAAACCCTATACAGGATCGCTGAGTCAGAACAGACTCAACGGCTTTAACAACAACTTGGTCAGAGCACCTGGCCCCCACCCAGAGCAAGGGTAGAAAGGGGGTACGGGGGGCGGTGACCCTCACAAACTCACTCTCCCTCAAGCAGGACTGCAGGCGCGGCTGCCCCATGTCCACCTCAACGCCATTCAGCCAGATCCGGTCCTCTGTAAAGTCCTTGCTGATGGCAGCGGTGGTAGTGGTTTTTAGCTGGAAAGGAAGCTGGGTCACCTTGGGGTCTGGAGGGAGGTCTTTCTGCCCCAGGGCCCCTCAGGTCAGCTGCAGGAGTAGGTCTGGCCCTGGGTGGAAGTGGGGATGGTCACACTTTCACGGGCCATAGCAGCACCCTATTCTACTCGGACAGGCAGGCCTTCCCACGCACCCTGGGGTGAGTGTGTACAGCTGTGTACATGTGTGTGTTCAAACCGACCTTCAGGTGGAGTGCTTAACCTATGGTGTCATGCCAGTACTCCAGTATGTACAATAGTGTGTGTGTGCATAATGGTATGTGGGCTGGTATGTACATGTGTGTTATGTGTGTATAATGGTATGTGGGCTGGTGTGTACATGCGTGTGATTTGTGTGTGCATAATGGTACGTGGGGTGGTGTGCATGTGTGTATAATGGTATGTGGGCTGCTGTGTACGTATGTGTACATGTGTGTTATGTGTATAATGGTGTGTGTGCTGTGTGTGAGACGCAATCCCAGGAGGACATGTGTGTATACGTGTGTGTGCATAATGGTATATGGGCTGGTGTGTGTGTACATGTGTGTTATGTGTATAATGGTGTGTGAGATGCAATCCTGGGAGGACACGTGTGTATGCATGTGTGTGTATAATGGTGTGTGGACTGGTATGTACATGTGTGTGAGATGAGAGCCCGGGGGCACGAGCACACGTGAAGAGACCTTGGGCTGTACACACATGTACACGAGTGTTGCTCACAGTGGAGACGAGCCAACAGTTGGTGTTGTGGGAGAGTCCTCACCCACCAATAGTTGAGTGCTGTCTCTCTCACACAAGCCCTCAAGCATCCCTTACCTGGTCCTGGTGCAGGGTAACACTCAGGGAAGAGTTGAGGGGCAGGATCAGCTCCTCATCACGCTTTCCCCCTGGAATGATGATCGGAGGGCACATTTGTCTCCCAGTCTCCCAGCACCTCACTCCTTCATCATTGCTCCCATAGCTGCTCCGCCCTCTAAGCGCTGGTCCTGCAGCAGGCAGATCCTACTCTGCCCTCATAGCCGTGGGGGCAGCTCGAACTCAGGGCAGCCCTGCGTGTGTTATAAAGTAGAACTGTGCTGTTTGGTGCTCTTGGCTGTGATCTCTATGGAAGCAGTTTGCCAGGCTTTTATTCCTCAGCACTGCTGAGTCAGTTTGGAGCACCAATGTTTAAATTAGCAGTCAAGTATAGATTCTCTGTACCACCCAGGTGACTCAGGCACACCTGTAGTGATTAAATGTGTCTTGGTTGTATTAATGTCAACATCTTCATTGCTACACTGTATCTTGGCTTATCAATGTCAGTATCTTGGTTGCTACATCATTGCTACAGTTTGACAGATGTTCCTACTGGAGGAAATTGAGGATTCGTTTTTACAACTACATGTGAACCTGCGATTATGCCAAAATAAAGAGCCAAGTTAAAAAGAAAAGAATAAAGCCAGAGCCCAGGATGGTATCTCAGGTTGCCTGGGCAGCTTGCCAGTCAGTGGGAGCAGGTGGTGTTGAGCAACATCTATCCCAACCTGTCCTCCCGGAATGAGGGCAGCCCCAGCTGGGCAGAGAGAGAGGACGAGTCATCCTGGGTATTACTAGCAGGATGAGGTCACTCTTTAGAGGAAAGCAAGGTGCTGACTTCCTAATTGGCATGTCTCAAACTGATTCTCCAAACTCCGTGTCCCCCAGCTGCAGCATGGTGGGGAAGCCTGGGCTTGATATTGCAAATCACCACCTCCAGCTGCATCCCTGGTCAGATGACTTCACGGCGCCAAGATTCAGTTTCCTCCTCTGTAAATGGAGGCTAAGAGGACCTAGCTCACAGGACCCCTGGGGCGGGATGTCACCCACCTGCAGGGTAAAGACTGGCTGATCACAGTCCTTAACCACCCAACTCCTACCTACCTACGTGGCTCTCACCCACCCACCCTTCAGGGTGAGTGAATGCTGGGCTGACCTGCCCATTACTCACTCCGCTCCACTAGTCCCAACACACCGGTCCCTCTGACCCCTAACCCCCTCCTGCTGACCTCTGCACACCTGTCTGTGCACATGGAACCCCTCCTTCCTGACTCCCACACACATGCCCCCTGCCAGTTAACCTCTCCCTCCTGACCACTGCACACCTATCCCTGCATACTGATCCCCTCCCTCCTAACCTGTGCACACCTGTCACTGCACACCTGATCCCTCCCTCCTGACTCCCACATACCTGTCCCTGTCCCAGCACACCTGACCTCCTCCTCCTGACTCCCCCATACCTGTCCCCCTGCACACCTGATCTTCTCTCTCCTAACCTCTGCACACCTGTCCCTGCACACACGACTCTTTCCTCCTGACTCCCCCACACCTGTCCCCCTGCATATCTGACCCCTCCCTCCTGACTCCCCCACACATGCTCCCTGCATGTATACCCCTCCCTCCTGACCACTGCACACCTATCCCTGCATGCTAACTCCCTCCCTCCTAACCTGTGCACACCTGTCCCCCTGCACACCTGACCCCCTCCCTCTGAACTCCGCACATCTTCCATTGCACAACTGACCCCAAGCCTCCTTATCCTGTACCCCATACACCTGACCCCCTCCCTCCTGTCCGCCACACACCGTTCCCGCACACTTGCGTCCCTCCTGCCTGACGTTTGCAAGTTGTCCCCTCCCTGATTTTCTCCCTCCTGTCCCCCGCACACCTGACCCTGCACACCGTGGGGTGCGCAGCCCGTTACTTACAATACTTGATGACGGCGATGTTGACCGGCGCGGTGCAGGTGACCACCGTGAGCTGCTTCTCCGAGGCCATGGCCAACCACCGGGCGCCAAAGCCGGGACCCGCGCAGGGCCCCTAACTTGCCGGCTCCTCGTCTCACGTACTGCGCGGCGATTGGCCCTCGAGTCCGGCAGCTGCGAGCCGCCCAATCAGCGGCGGGCCCGTCCCACGATCCGTCTCTCAGCCAATGGACCGTATCGTATGATGGGCTGCTGACGGTAAGCCCGCCCTCGCCCTCGGGGCCCGTGGAGTCTGCGCAGTCGCTGAGTCTTACCCGGGCTTTCCCGTCACCTGAGGTCTCCGTGGCACATTTAGCTTGGGGTTTCCCACACCTGGGGTATCTCCCGCACTTAGGGTACCCCCGTACCTGGGGTTCCTTCCGCACCCCCCCCCGTAGTCCCCCTTGTCCGCCTGAGTTCAGTGTTAGCCAGATCCCCGCCAGGGAATTCAGTGCACTGGGGGAAAGTCAAGACATTTTCTGTGCTCCTGCTCCTTGCTATAATTGTTTGATTTAAAATGAATTTGGTTTAAGAAGATTCAAGAGCATGGAGTGTGAAGGCCCCACCAAGGACCAAACACCCGGTTATTTTTCTTGGAAACCATCAGTGTTACCTTTCCATCAACATTTAATGCATGTGGCACTGTAGGGTCAACACTGGACTGCAAACCACAAAGTCAGCTGCTCCTAGGAAACCCTAGATAGGTTTACTATGCGTGGAAATTGACTCAGGACCCTTACCACCACCAGGAACAAACAGGATTTCCCCACCTTACTTTTACCAGTTAAGAATTTGCTGGAAACCAACCATCCAATTCGGTGGGGGAATGCCCTCGCTCTGCATCTGGTAACACCACAACTTACTCACTCAGACCCTCGACAGTGTGCAGTCAGGTTGTTACCATCGTTTGGATATTATAAACATACTTTTTAGCACATACTATGCCAGAGTGGCTATTTCTGTAGGGAAATCTCCTGGAAGTGGGATTACTGTACCACCTCATGGGATCTGCGTTCAGTGACCTTGGTAGAGGTGGACGTGGACTTAGTGACCACACCCCCATCGCTGAGGTGTGGGAGGGAGCATGCCCCCCATTGCTGAGGTGTGGGAGTATGCCCATGTCACCAAGGTGTGGGTGTGGGAGCGTGCCCACACCTGCCCCATGAGGTATCTGTCTTCAGAGGGCACACAGTCTCTGGTCATTGCTTAACTGTTGATCTCACAAGACGATGGTTTTCTCTCACAATCAGTCATCTGCTTGGGCAACACGATTCCTTGTGAAGACACCCTCAGCTGAGCCACAGGCACTGTGTGTTCCATGGAGTCTGGTGAGCAGGAACACAGACTGGCATGCGTTTCTGTGTGGTGACCAGACACTGTGTTATGTGCTTTACCCATGTTACCTGGCAATTTTCATCACTATGTGCAAATCAGGAGTCTTGTTGTGGCGCTGTGGGTTAATGCTCCAGGCTGCAAAGCCATTTAAACCACAAAGTCAGCAGTTCAAGTTCACCAGCTGTTCCTTGGAAACCCTATAGAGGGTTACTATGGGTCGGAACCGACTCGACAGCACTTCACAACAACCAATGAGCAAATCAAGTGCTGAAACAGTTAACAGCTCAGTGAAAGGGTGATTGATGGCTTGGAACCACTCAGCAGTTACAACAGAAGATCTGGGGCTCTGGTTCTGTAAACAGTAGAGTCTAGTAATGTAGACAGCAAACTTCCAAATGACAAGGTCAAGTAGATTTCAAGATACAATACTGTTTTAAGAAGGAGAAAAGATTGATAAATTACAGAGTAACCTTAAAGAAACCTGCATATCAAGATAAGAAAATAAGAAAGATTTAGGAAACATTAACACAATAGAAAGGAAAATGAAAATCCACAAACAAAATGAACTCAGCTTAGAAAGATCTGTGGACGAACCCAGCAACACCACAAAGGCAGACAGAAAAATGGAAGTAGTCAAGTCTACCTGTTGAAAACTAAGTGTAGTCACTGGTTCAATGTAGCAGTCAAAGAGACAGAGAGAGCAGGATGGAAAAGAAACCAGGATCCTTCAATACGCTGTCTACAAAAGACATCAAAAAAGATGGCGATAGCCTAAATGCCCATCAACAGAATGACCGAACGGTCTTTTGGTGCATACACACAACGGAATACTACAAAACATGGAAGAATAATCAAGAATCTATGAAACACCCAGAAGACATTATGCTGAGTGAATTGGTTGGTCAGAAAGGGACAAATATTGTATGAGGCCAATGTTGTAAAAAGATTTATTTTATTTTAATTTTTTTTAAAGAACGTTTTCTTGATTAAAGAAACAATCTGCGATGATCGTGGGATGGTGGGAGGGAGAATTGTTCATGAGCTATGGTAGGTACATGTTGGCATGGGTCACAAGGCCGGTGTATGCAATGGGAGGAGAGTTGGCAGAGGAAACAAGAAGGTGGCCGGAGTCACAGGGAGGAGTGCAATAGTTAAAGTGAATGGAGGATTGCAACAATGTAATGAGGTAAAAAGTTAAAAAAAAAAAAAAGGTTTTCTTGATCAAAGAAACAATCTATGATGCTCATGGGAGGGTCAGAGGGAGGACTGCTCGTGGGCTATGATTTGTTGGATGCAGAACTGATGATCTGCTCTGTAAACCTTCGCTCAATTCACAATAAAAAGTGTGTGTGTGTGTGGGGGGGGGTATCAGTCTAGAAAACCCTATGGCGCAGTTCTACTTGTCACATGAGGTTGATTTTGTTGTTGTTAAGTTCGGTCAAGTCGGTTCCAACTCACAGCAACCCTGTAAGGATTTCTGAGGAGCAGTTGATGGGTTTGAACCGTCAACCTTGTGAGGTCAATAGGAGTTGGAGTCAACTGGACAGCTCACAACAATAACAACAACACAAGTGTCACATCTACACGGCTACACAACAATTATCAGACTGTCCCCTACCAAGGAGGGCTAGTGGATTTGAACTGCTGACCTTGTGGTCACCCTTGTCCTGCAGCAACACCAGGGTTCCTGGCCGCAGATGCCCACATCCACAGCTGGAGCGTGCATTTCCTGGACCGCCGACCACGACCACACGTTAATGTCGTTAACAATGTGTCATCAATATCGGAGTCCAGGTGTGGCACTGTAGAACCAGCGCTGGACTGCAAGGTCAGCGGTTCAGACTCACCAGCTGCTCCTTGGTCATTATGAGTCAGAACCGACTCGATGGCAAAACCAAGAAATCAAGTGATCCCTGGTGATACCGTGGGTTAAACATTAGGCTGATTCCTAAAAGGTTGGCGGTTCAAGCCCACTATCCACCTCACCTGACACTCATGGGAGAAAGATGTGGCTGAGTGTTGATGTGGCGCAATAGGGTAAGCACTGGGCACGGAGCCACAAGATCGACAGTTCAAACACCTCAGCCAGCAGCTCCCTGGAAACCGTATACAGGGTTGCTGTGAGTTGGGACAGACTCAGCATCGCTCAGCAACCACCTCCACAAAGACTTACAGCCTCGGACACCCTACGGCACAGTTCCACCACGTTCTGTTGGGTCTCTGGGAGTCACAATCCACTCCATGGCTGTGGGCTTGTGGAGGTGGTGGTGACAAACTGAAGGACAGAAAGCTGACACCACGCTTTTCTGAAGCGTTCTATTATAATGCCCCTCTCAAGAGGATGGAGGGAGCGACAGGAAAGCAGAAAGGAAAGCTTCCAACCTAAAAGCTAAGAAGCAAGAATGGTTTTCATAGGTTTGGGCAAGAAACTTCTGCAATCCTGCCTCCTACTGAGGTGGGAGACAGCGTGGGGCGGTGATGCTTACGTTTTAATGTGCATCTGAGTCAGGGGGTCTCTTAAAGTGCAAGCTCTGATTCAGTGGGTCTGGGGTGGGATCCGAGAGTCTTCACCCTAGCAAGCTCCCCAACAGGCCAGTGCAGGACATGCTGGTCTTCAGGTCTCACCAAGTGACAAAGAAGTTGAGGGAGTCAAAAAGTACTGCTGTGGGGGTTCCGGTTCATGCATGCATGGGAGTACTCACATCTCTGTGATCAGTGGGTGGCCGCAAACAAGTTCTCAATCAAACACTTGTCTTCATCTCCTTAGGGGGCCTTCAAAAGGTCCAGTCGGAAACAGTGGTTTCCAATTTGCTGGGCCTGCTCAATTCGAAGCAGAGAGGGCAGCTTAGAGGGTTAGGCAACCTTTTTGTTCTGATCCCAAAGTGGTCATCTTGATCAATTTTCATGACGAAAGTTGAAAACTGCATTTCTGAGAAAAAGGCAGGAAAGGTGTGTCAAGGAATGTTTTCTTCCCTGGCACCATGTACCTGCTCATTTTCCAAGGGTAACAAGGGCAGTCTGACAAGAATGTCTTTGTGAAACCTTACCCCAGCTATCGTCTGGCCCATTCAGACTTTATTTTGTTTCCCAAATTAAAAAAAAAAAACATTCAAAAGGAACACAGTTTGAATTCTCCAGGATTCAATCAAAGAGTGCAGAATGTTGTGGGAAGGGTTAGAGAGCTGTTGGCCCTGCTTTCAGAAGTGTCTTCACCTCGCTGGAGGCCACGTTGAGGTACAGAAGCTCCACATTTTAATATTTTTGTTTAATAAACATTTCTGTGATTTTGAAGCTACACTTTTTGATGGACTCTTGTACATCATGGGGTCTCTAGCTTGTGTGTGAGTAAGTTTCCTGGATGCCTGGTTTATAAAATGGAAGTGATCAACGTACCCAAGCAGACGTCTGTCCATTGTCCAGCACATGGAAGCCTTCACCAGCAGCTGATACCTGAGAAGGCGACGGTCCACGCAGAAGCACAGAAATGAGGGTTACTGTGTGTCTTACTGGGCACTGTCTTAGAATGCAATCTGTCTCCCCAAAATATGTGCCAACTTGGCGGGGCCATGAGTGTGTGGTTCAATGCTATGCGGCAGCCACGGTGGGATCGAATTAGAGAAATCAGCGAGAGGACTCAGGGTGGACAGTAATATCCTCAGTCCCATCGTTAACACGGGTCTGATGGCGGGGAGATTTCCA